AAAATCTATAAGAAAAGATATTTGTTCTTGACTGTCAAATGAAATTCATCAAAAAATTTTTTATTAATTATTTTCTATCTATCTAGAAATATTTCTAGTATTAATTATCATATGATCTTATATTGTAGATATTGATTTCTCAAATAAAAATGAGACTATTTTTTAATACTTGCCTATATTATCGTAGAGCGTTCTATCATGTTAGACCACGTCAGGTAATTAAATATGAAAATTTAAATATAAAATAAAATACCTTGAAGTTTCCTTTTAGATAAATGATACTGTAACTAAATTACTTAATTCAAAAAATGACCCATTAATTAAAAACAAAGATAATATTAGAAATAATGATAAAATTCTTAAACTACCTCGAGTAAATTATAATGATTGATTATCTAAAATTATTATTTAAAGATTTTATTCAGGGTACTCGTGATTATCATCCAAATCAAATGAAAATTCGTGAAGAAGTCTTTAGTACAATTATCAATTGTTTTCAACAACATGGTGCTAATACAATTGATACACCAATTATGGAGTTAATTGTACATATTATATATATATATTGTTTATTTTTATATTTATCTATTATTTTATATAGACTCTTTTAAAAGAAAAATATGGTGAAGATGCCAAACTTATATATGAATTAAAAGAGCAAGATGAGGATGAATCATTAGCTTTACGTTATGATTTAACTGTTCCATTAGCACGTTATATTTCACAAAATAAAATTTCTGCTATGAAACGTTATCATATCGGAAAAGTTTATCGACGCGATAGTCCAAAAATGACACGTGGACGTTATCGAGAATTTTATCAATGTGATTTTGATATTGTTGGCGCTTATGATGCAATGGTACCTGATGCAGAATGTGTTAAAATTATTGCAGAAATTCTTGATAAACTTGCTTTAGAACAATATAAAATTAATGTAAGTTAGAAATGAGAATAGTTTTCTTAGAATTGATTCGATATTTTAGATCAATCATCGTAAATTACTCGATGCTATTTTTACAGTATGTGGTGTACCTGATAAACTTTTTCGTTCACTTAGTTCAACAATTGATAAACTTGATAAAGTAATTAGAATTTACTAAATTGTTTATTTGCTACATTGAATAATATAGATACCTTGGGATATAGTTCGAAATGAAATGATTAATGAAAAAGGTTTATTACCAGAAACAGCGGATAGAATTTGGGGTTATGTTCAAATGCATGGTATATTAGTTTCCATTAGTATAATTTATCAGTCTGTTTCTATTTAAGGTAATGCGGATTTAATTAATCAACTTCGAAATGATTCACAATTAACTTCTCAAAAATTAGCTATTGAAGCTTTGAATGATCTTGAATTACTCTTTCGTTATCTAGCATTATTTAATGTTACAGATAAAGTAATTAGAAAAAAAAATATAGGATTATTTTCATGTATTAGTTTTCTTTAGATTGTATTTAATTTAAAATTAGCTCGTGGATTAGATTATTATACGGGTGTTATATTTGAAGCTGTTCTAACACAATATCAATATAATCCTCAATTAGATGATGATCAAATAGCAGTTGGAAGTATTGCTGGTGGTGGAAGATATGATGAACTAGTACAAAAACTTGACCCCAAACAAAGATATGTACCTTGTATTGGTTTAAGTATTGGTGTTGAAAGAATATTTGCTATAAAAGAACATCAATTAACAGTAATTATTATACATTATTTTTTTTGTGTATATTTAATTATTAATTTAGGAATCGAAAATTCAATCAAAAATAATTTCAACTGAAATTTATGTAGCATCAGCAGAAAAGAATTTCTTAGAAGAACGAATGAAATTATGTACTTATCTTTGGGAAAATGGTTTTAAGGTTTTTATTATAGATTTTTACATTTGATTCAAGAAAATTTTTGTTTTTCGAACTTTATGATAGACAGAAATGGCATATAAACGTAATCCAAAATTATTAGATCAATTACAATATTGTGAAAAAAATCAAATTGAATTATGTATTATTATCGGTAGTTCAGAATTACACGATGGTACTATTAAAATGCGCAATGTGATGACTCGAGAAGAGGTTTGAAGTCTTCTTTTATGTGTCTTCTTTTGTATTTATTTATAATAAATATTTAGTCTATTATTCCACGAGAACAATTAGCTGAACAATTACGTAATCATCTTATCAAAGTTCGACAACGATTAACAGAAAATAAACAACAATAAATTATTTTATTATATATAAATACTTTTGTTTTTCTCTTTTGAACAAAGTTCATAGATAT